TGTGTGTACGTACGTACGTAGGTATGTATGTATGTAGACGTGTGTGTGTGTGTGCGTGCGTGTGTGCGTGTGTGCGAACCTCTGCCGAGTGACTAGCGAAATTGTAGGTAGACATCACAGAAACTGTCTATGCGAATCGCTGTTGGGTGACACTTCGAAACATGGGACAAACGCGGCAAGAATTGTCAAGAGTGATTGCAGTTGTCCGAGGTGGTGTCGACGGTCGGTTCTACACCCTTACCGTCCATTTCAGCCCAGCACAGGAGGCCAAACATCAGCAAAGGTGTCGGAGTGGATGTACAAATTTTGGGCACGAACTGCATGTTGAAGTTACAGCTTGCCCGGCATCGCCCTTGAAAAACTGCCCTACCTTCCGCGTGTGCAATGCGGGGTTTCCGAGCATGACCGCACAGCCCACCCCTCTTGTTGGTTCACAACAATGACAAGGCTCTCCATCTCATTCCATTTGAGCTGTCGTAGGCATGTTGCAGGGGCTTTCGAGAAACTCTGTGGTTTGGTGTTAAGAAGCACTTCAGAAGGGGCTAAGCTTGCCACTCGTTGCAGCAGACGCTGGGGCCTCATCGGCACGGAACGTGCCAAATGTCACACAAAATTGTCGGGACATTCCCCAACTGCGCCCACTATCGAACTGTCAACTGCAAAAAGGAAAGAGCAATGGGAAGCAGCGCCTCAGCTCGTTCTGCAGCGACGGCATCAGGCACATCACCTCATTTTGCTTCCGTTAGGGCTATGGCGGCTATGGCACAGGCTTCTCTACGTCTGAGCAGTCTTCAGATGTCTGCACCAGCGAGGTTCCAAACATCAGATGCTTTTCTCGTGCTTTCCAGTAGGTCTGGAGTCAGGTTGGCAGGTGCAGACAGCAATGCTGCTTCCCTGACCTCGCTTTGATTAGTCGTTATGTTGAAACAATCAGTAACAACAGGGTTGGTCCCGGACACTGTTGACCGGCAACACGGGAGGTGCAATCGGCTGTGTGTGACCCTTGCGCTCATTACACCAGTCAATTATTCAGCTTGCCCACGGGAAGCCGCATTGTGCCTTTGCCAATCTCGATGAGAATCATTTCCGTATCTTGAGGGCGCTCCATCATTACCAGCCCATCTGCGAAAGGACCATGATGTGAACCTCTTGAAGATACATCGGCCGAATCTGTCGCAGTCCGCTCTCATGAAAGCTACCGCTCACCTGAGAAAGACAATCCATGCCGAGCCTCAGCAGGCATGGGACCTAACAACTGTCGGAATTGGTGTTTGAACACCAGAGAAAAACTAAAAGACGGCGCGGCCTCTCACATCCATCGGGAGAATCAAGAAAACTCACTTTGCGTTCACATTCAGAGGCTGTCGGCACTGGCTAGAGTCTAGAGCCAAGTCGAGATTCTTCCGGTGGGGCTTGTGCCACGACGAGTTCGGCTTGGTCGGAGAGGAGCACGTGATCTCCCGTTGAATCGATCACTTGATGCTAGAATTTCTAAAGTCCACAGTCTGCCAGTCTGCCATCGTATTCTGACTCGCAAGCTCCTCTCTGATGGCCTTGTCCTACGTCTCCAAGCTGAGCAAGAATTCTACCTTGTAACAATCTGTCAATTTAGCCAGGTCCCCTGAAGATGAACACGACATAATGAACACGCAAAGAGGGTGGTCTTGCAAAAGCGCGGGCTGAAGCAATTCTTAGTTTGAGCCTCTGAAAGGGCTGGTATGGTCGAAGCAGGTGTCCAGCGACGACGCCACCCGATCGAGGGTTTGGCTGCCGCTGCCATGACTGCATCGCTAGCGAATGTCGACCACGTGATAGTCGGAGTTGTGCTCCTTGCATATCACCTTCGCCGTCCCACTCTGCAGAAGTCAACACGACATGCTGATACCGGTAGAAGCACCTGGACCTAGGACTCCTGTTGTTGCTACACTTCCGGACCGTGACGGGAATGACAGGCCAAGGTCATGGAGGGGAGATGGGTCAAAAAGTCAACAAGCTGTGCACTGCATGCATCTGCCTTCAAGGCTCGTCGATTCGAAAATTATGAAGTCAATCCATGCAGCTTATGCCTGCCGGCCTTTCCATCGGGCTGGAAAGAAAGCTCCGTGACAGATGCATTTTTCAACCTGAGCAACATGTGGACTAGCCGGCCACTTGTGAACAATCCTTCAGGAGTCTTTTTGTGCTTCTCGCCAGGAGGGCTCCCACGCCGTAGCCCCACCAAACCAATCTGCCTCTAAGACTCTAGTCAAGTCTAGAGATGTGTCAAAAGGCTGAGAGCTGAGACGGCATGCTGCGTGGGCATCTTCCCTCATCCGCCCGGGCTTGCCCCAAACAATTTTCCCACAACAAACGAACCCGAACAACACCCTGGAACGCCAACCACTCCAAGTCTCCAGCTCGTGGGGAACCTACCTCCGATCCTTTCGACCCAACTGTCTCAGCAGGCAAGTTCACGCCAGTCTAAAGCACCAATCCCCTGCGCGGTTGCTCTCTCGACACTTCTTGGTACAAGTATCGGCTGACAAGTGCCCCTACTATGACACGTTGCAGTAATGCGTGGCAACAAGCGAGGGAACTCTATCGGTCCTCCTTCTTTCCTTGTAATCAGTTCGGGGAAGGGTTCTGTCGGTCTCTGCATGTGTTTACATATGCCGCACAGCCAGCGAGAAATCGCATATGCCTGCACAAGCAGTAGCACGCGCGCTCTATCCGGGAATGTGCTGTCCTGCGCCATAGACTGCAGGAATCAACATCAGCAGAACATGACACATCGCATATACAACACGTTCCGCCCGCGGCTGCCAAGGGGCTTGTACTTGGGGTCTCCGTAGGTCCAGCTATTTGCTGTGCCATGGAGCAGCAGCTGCAGCAGCAAATCACCAAGAGTCTGATGCAAAACCAGGATCCTCGATTGCGAAGAGATGAATGAGTAGCAACAGCAACTGGACGAGAAAATGTAGCGGTTCCTCATTCACCGTACTGTATTTTGAATACATCTTACAGGTCGGACTCTTCTGTGGGCGTCCCAGAGTCACCACGGGGCTGCTCGTACTGCAATTCATGGCTTCCTTCAGCTTTGGTCGAAGCCACTCGACAATTCCTGGGCGGTGGCATGTGTGAATTCAGGCAGATTCTAGAGCTCAAACACTGGACCGTTGGGGAAAACACCTGTCCAAGACGACTCATATGATCTCCGACGGACGGAGAAAAGGGATATATCAGAAAT